GGGGGGGGCTGACAGGGCTGAGAGCGGCAGGCCCAGAGGCCTGGGTGGAAGCGGCATGACAGGACCTGGAACTCGCCGAAAACGGAAGCACAGGAGAGGAGGGCGAAGGCGCGGCCTGTGGCGCTGGGGCCGCCAGATGGAGTCGGGGGCCAGTGGAGGTGGGGACACAAGCCAGGACCGGCACGCCTCGCAGGTGCCTGCTGTCATCCAGCTCTGCTCGGGAAGCAGGCTGTCTGTTAAGGACAGGAGCGTCTAGCCAGCTAGAACAGAGGGTGAGCTAGGCCAGACAGCCCGAGAGCAAACACCACACGCAAGGCCCAACAGTGGATGCCACCGGAGATGAGAACAGGGCAAGATGACGAGGGTGAGCTTGGCCAGGAAGGGACGAAAGAAAGGTCGGTCTTAGAAGGAGCCTTCAAGGCCCTCTGGGCCAGGGTCAGCCGACATTTCCGTAACAGGATAGAGAGCAAACACTTTTGGCTTTGCAAACCACGCAGCATCCATCACAACCAACTGGGTTCGCACCGCAGCCTTCGCGTCCACCAACCAGAGGGCGCAGTGGGATCCGGCCCCCGCAGGCTGGACCTGGCGTGGCTGAGACAGCCGGCCCTGAGGGACCGGGAGCTTGCTCGAGTGGGCGTAGAGGCCTCGGAGCCCCCACCTGTGACTCTCCACAACGTCATCGCGCTCATGAAGTCGAGCCTCGACTGGCTACGGCGGGGAAGCCACAGAGTCAGGAGTGAGGCTAAGAGTGCATGGAGAAGGCGGCCGACGTGAGGCCTCCGGAGCGATCTAAACTCGGGACGCGGCCCCGTAGGAAGGAGCCACCACTGATGGTTTCTGAACGAGGGCCTGGCCGGGAGACTTGGTCAGGAGACACTGAAGGCAAGCGTCTCAGGCACAGCCTAATTAGGTGACTCGACCCTCTGAATCACGTCACACTCAAAACTTGCTTTTGGCAAAAAGGTATCTTACCAGCACAATCTTTCCTCGCTTTCCCACCGTTATGCCAGAGTTCCTGAAACCAGAATCTACTGCCGCTGAATGCTGTAAGAAAATACAACTTGTCAAATTGTGATACCATCGCTAATCAGATCATCTAATACCCAATACTAGTCAGATGATCATCTGATACTACCACTAATCAGATCATAAGCTCTACAAACTGCAGAAACAGACATACCCAAAACATCTTAAGGCTTTCTGGCTAACCAATATGAGCTATGCTTAAGGGTGACTTCAATTAAACTCCTACTAGAAATACACAGTATGAACGATAGAAATGTCACGGAGAAAGAGTAAACCAGAACTCAGCAACAGAGACACCTGGCTAGTGACTGTTTCCATAAACCTGCCATTCTTGAAAACATGCTGTATACAAGTAAACAAAACAAACAAAATCTCTCTCTTAAATGACAGAAATGTCTTTTCTAAGTAAGAACAGAGATTATTTTAGTGTCCTTTCTATCCCTAAAAAAGGTCATTGAAATAATATGAGAAAAGCATTTTAGGCACAAACATCATGATCTTATCAGGGTGACTTTGTAGGTTACTTTGTTTTGTGTGTGGTCTGGTATAATGAGATGCAAAATAAGGTTAGATCAAAGTTCAGGGGTGGAACAGGCACCAGAGCCGTGAGCCACGGGGTTATTACCTGCCGTGTTTGGGGGAACAGCTCCAAGTGCCTGTGCTCCTCAGGTCTCTTTCATTGCCTTTGGCACTTTCTCCACGGGAGGATTTGATTGAGGCTCATGCCCCAAACACTAACTGTGTACTGTGTCTCTCCAGTGTTTGCCTTCAGCCCAGACTTCCCCCTACATACCTATCTGAAGTTTTCATTTAGGTGTTATGGACTGAATTGTGACCACAGGGATTCAAATTCCTATGTTGAGACACTAAACTCCAACGTGACGATGTCTGGAGACGAGGCCTCTCAGGTGATAATGAGGGTCTGGTGAGACCGTAAGGGTGGGGCCCTAATCCAACAGAACTGGTGTCCTCACAGGAAGGAGGAGAGACACCTGCGATGGACACACACAGAAGAGGCCGTGAGAGGACACAGGGAACAGGCAGGTGCTTGCAAGCCACGGAGAGGCCTCAGGAGAAACCAATTAGCTGGTATTTTGACCTTGGCCTTCCAGGCTCCAGAACTGTGAGAAAATACGTTTTTTTGAGTTGGAGTCTCACTCTGATGCCCAGGCTGGAATGCAGTGACATGCTCACGGCCACTGCATTCTTGACCGGCTGGACTCAGGAGATCCTTTGACCTCAGCCTTCCAAGTAGCTGGAACTACAGGCATGAGCCACCACGACTGGCTGATTTTTAAATTTATTTTAGCAATGAGGTCTCCAAGTTGCCCAGGCTATTCTCTTGCCTCCACCTCCCAAAGTGCCGGGATTATGGGTGTGAGCCACCACACCTGGCAAGAAAATACACTTCTGTTGTTCACACTACCCTGGCTGTGGCATTTCACCATGGCGACTCTAGCAGACACTCAGCGTCTGATGCGCTTTCTTGATCCCACCTTCACCTCTGCCCCCCCACCTGGGTACAGGACAGCAACCACGTGCCAGGGCTCTGGCCAACCCGAGGCATCTCTCTGACTCGTCCGCCCCCTCCCCCTCCCCCTCTGCTGTCCTGCAGGCACCCTTCTCAGTGTGCCGGCTCAAATGCTGACACACAGTGGCGTCTGTTCCTTCTCAGCTGCTTTGACGCCATCCCCTCGCCACAGTCCCACTCAGGTCGCCACTGACTCCTGATGGAGCTTCCACTTGCTGCTGTCCGCTCTCTACACTGGAGCACAGCACAGACCCACGAAGCACCCTCTGCTTATCCCTGGCCCTTCCGAAGGTCTGCATGCACTCAGAAAGCAGCCCAAGCCCATTGTCCTGGTCTGCACAGCTCTCACCACCCAGCCCAGCCTCCTTCTCGTGCTGTACCCTCTCTGCTCCTCTCTGCTCGCCAAACACACCAAGCTCCTTCGTGCTTGGGAAACAGCGTATGTCCTTTCCACCAGCCCAGAAGGTTCCCTCTCCCAGTTATGGGTCGAGCTCCGTCTGCTCCTTCAAGACCCAGCTTAAAGAAGCCCTCCAGAGAAGCCTGTCCTCAGGTGGGCTCCCTCCATGCTGTTCTCTATCACAGGCTGTTTCCTCCTTCCTACAAGTCCTGCTTCCCAGCCCTGAGGGAGGAACAAGCTAGTCTCCAACTCTGCTCCTCACTGCGCCCTGTGCCTGACACATCAGGACTCCGTGCATTTGTGCCGAATGAAGGCTTATAATGCAACTTAATGTTATGGATAAACACTTGAGAAGTATACAAGTGGACAGAGATGAAACACAGAATCAAGACCAAATAGATGTTTATGTGATGCTCATTTAAATGATGAAAAAAGTAAAATATTCCTTAAACAATTAAAACATGTAGCTCCATGGTATTTTTTTAATCCAAGTTTGGCAAGCAAAACAAACAGACAATTGGAGTAAAATTTATAAATAGAAAGGTTACGGAAGAAAACAGGAAGCGCGATTTGGGAGTCCTCTTCTGCTGGGAATTATTAGATACTCTTTTTACCTGATACTAAAAGGAAATACACAGGTTGCAAAAACAGACGAATAGACAGAAATCTAGTTGAACCAATCACTAACTCATGAATATTCACAGGAGGTGGACAGCCTGAAATCAAACACACCCACATACCTATCACCCTAGAATCCCAACCAACGTTACCAGAATCTGCGCGTCCCGCAGCTGCCGACACTGCACGTGAAGGACAAATGGCTCGAATTTCAGGACAACCTCGCCACGTGCCTTCTTCAGAGCCTGTGTCTAGATCGACAAAGGGCGAAGGTATCAGACACGCGGGCTCACCTGTCCCTCTGGAACCCTTTATCCCCCACAGAAGTTCAGGCTTGCTTAGAAATCTCCAGAAGCACTCAGCGTGCTTTTTCTACAGCAAATTTTCCTCTGCTTTCTTGGTTCTCTTTCACCAAAACCTTACTCATTGGCCCGTTTTCTTAAAAGGCCCAATTTCCACTTCTCCCAAAAGCCTCTGTACCCTTCTCCGCAACCATACCTTGTAAACTACTGCTCTAACTCCCTAGTACTCTCTTCACTAAGGAACGCAGTATAGAAAACCTGTAAATCTTGGAGGGCTGTTTATATTCTTTGTCATTGGAGGCTGAGACACACTTAACATGAAGGAAGAGGCTGAGCACAGCCCGACATCACCTGGGTTCCCACACCTGCGCTTATGGGGGCACTAGCGAGCCCACAAACGGCCCTGCACACCAGGAGCTCAGAGCATAGCCAGTGTGTTCCGGTTCCTTCTGCACGGAGCACACATACCCTTGCCTTGAAACTGTTGAGCTATGTGTGAGTCACCGGCCTTGTGATGTCCCCAGCTTTCTGTACTTCAGATCCCATCGGGCAAGGATTGGAGTCTTTCTACTGCAACCCCGAGTGGGTGCATGCAGTCACGCTGCCCTCGTCAGCTGTGGGATGGATCTGAGCTGTGGGCCGGACATGTTGGAAGAGCTGGATCTTGTGTGGGGTCTCTCTCCCCCGTGGGGGCCAAGGTCACACGCTTGAGCCTAGTGTCCGTGTTCCTGCTTAGTGACCTTGGGTCATGCACGGCCTCTTTCCTGGGTGGCACTGGTGCTTCTGGACCTTGGCCGCATGCGTGTTGCCGTCCATCTGCAGTGCAGCCTGACCACCGAGGGGAACATGCAGCATTGTCTGAGCTGGAATTTGCACAGACAGTGGCCATTTCTGCCTGCCCAGCGTCCCAGGCAGCATCCTCCCTCCTTCATACCGTGTGACTTTAGTAGGACTGTCACTCAGGAGACTGTCGCTGATGCCTCCTCCCCTCAGAATATCAGAAGTGCCAAGTGCCTATGTCACGTCTGATCAAGGATTTTATTCCATTCCACTCACCAAACCAATTGGTCTAAGTGGGAAGGCAACTCAGAGTCCTTCTCTGGGACTGACAAATGAATCTTAGGAAAAGGAAGTCTTTTTCTGCTGGGGCCATTGGCAGTTATCATTCCTCCCACCCAGAGAAATGAAAATGAAGACGAAAGTCACTGGCAGCAGAAGAGAACAAGGGCAAATGGCAGAGGGCTCCGGCCCCAAGGGCGGAGACGGGGCGTGCTCTGAAGACGAAGCCGAGCACCTGCGCCAGCAAGCTCTGAAGCTAGCTCCACCGGTCCTGTCCACTTTCACAAATGCTCTTTTTTGCTTAAGACAGAATTGGATCTCTAAGTTCCCTGGGAATGAAAAGTGCCTGGCAAATACAAACGTCTATGAATCCATCTCAAAGCTTTAATTTAGGAAACTAAATAACCCAGCACAGATACGGAGATTTCAAGACGCAATCCGGGCAAGCAATGTGTAATTTATTTACATCAGTAAAGCTGGTTATACAGAGATAGTGCTAATTCCTTCTCCTTCTATAATTTGTTCCAGGTTACAGGGTTATCAAATGGCAGAATTGCAATTCAAAATTCAGATCCAGTATGTGTCCAACGCTCATGAACTTTCTGCCACATCCAAGAGGATGCATTTTGTTGAGAGGAGTCATGCTTGAATACATATTCACCCCCCCCCACTTTCATCTCCTAGAAAAGCCACTATAATGAAAGCTCTCTGGGTTTTATAATCTTCAGCCATTGCAATTATGTATATAAATCACCTAGCATTTTCTATTCTTTTCACATGTATTTAAAGTAACTGTGAATTTAAAAGTTTATTTCTAAATTTATATATGAAAACTTACCACATCATCTTTTACACAAGGTTTGTGTGTAACCAGCAGCCAGCAACAGTTTTGCTTCTGAACCTCAAAACCATTTATACCCTAAAAGAACAAATAATGATTTAAGTCAATTACATAATATTTGCAAAAACAGTAAGTACAATGTATCGCATATTGTAGGTTTTCTTTAATAATCCCAAACTGTGACTTTTAAACATTACTGAAAACAATGCTTTGAGGTAAAGTTGACCTAAAACAAAAAAATGTACCCAAATAACTTGAGACAGAAAGAAAATATTTGAAAGATCAAGATACTTAATATTTTCTGAAATATGGTCGTGGTTTTGTGAGAGGAAAAGGAATTAGTACAAGCAGTATAACAGAAGCACCTGAGTTGTACCCTAGCCGGCTTATTTGGCCAGCACAAGACTCGTTTTGAAAGAATTTCAATTCCTCTTGCAGGGCGGCATTGCTCCAGTCCCACGCAAGACCCACCACTCTTTTCCGCTGCCTGTTCTGTGCACACCTTTAAATACCCCCCAGATCCCAGAGGCATCGATTTGTGACCTTCAGCGAAGCTCAAGGGCAGAGCTAAGACTGAAAGGCCGAGGTTTCAAGAAGGCAACCTTTTAACATTAACTTTCGGGTCAAATGTTTATTTGCAAAGTTTTCTTGGGTACTTTGGGTACACACAGGCCCGACCCTCAAAGACACTGGAAGGATGCGGGAAACCACACGGTCAGAGATCACTGCACAACTACAAAGTGACAGACCGTGGGCTCACGGGAAACTCTCCCATCTGGCCTTGGAACCAGGGAGCACTGGGCATGCCCCGAATAACGGCTTCGTCTTCCCCGTAAGACACTGGTGACTTGTGTGTCTGGTCCTGTGCTGGCCGCTCTAATCCCAGAGCCAGGTGTGTGGCCCATCCCCAGGAAGTTCGCAGGATCTAGTGGCACGAGTTGGGAACTAACGCTGTCACTGTCTTCACCCTATCTATCTTCCCTTTACCCAGATTTCACCGCTTCCTGTTTTGTCTCGCCGTGCCTTTTTGTAAGTTGCTCAAAATCCTTACTGGAAAGAAAGGCAGACTCAACATAATACAAGACATAGGATAAAAAATGAAAAGAGGTTCAGATACAGTCCTGAGCCCATTCAGGAGAAGTAGCCACTACTTCCAACTGGGTCGCATGCATGAGTGTGTTCAAATGGGAGGAGAGTTTTGGGAATCACATCTCAGGTAAGGGAGATGGGAAAACATTTCAGGGAGAAGAAAAAGAAAACATGAGCAAAGGTTGATACATACAAGATGAGAAGGAATAGTCAGTTCTCGCAACTAGTTAGAGATGAAGAGAAGTAGCAGAAAACAGGGTGGGAAGGCGTGCTGGAGACAGTGTTCCTTGTGGAAAAAGAGGTAAGGGGAGGTTTCAGCACAGGCGTGTGACCGAGCTGCGCTTTAGGAAGGCGGAGCCGTGAACAGAGAGGAACGGGGCTTGGAGACGGCGTGGTGAAGCGGCTTGCTGGAAAACCACCACAAAGCCCCCGAGAGAGTGGCGCTGGGAATGCGGCAGGAGCACGCGGGCCAGGGTGCCAGAGCTCCGGAGGCTGCGGGAGCAGCACAGAGACAAACAGGCCCTGGAAGAGCAGCAGAGCATCAGCCAGCAGCGACGGGAAGGACGGCCGGGGACATGGTGCTTTCCCTGCTCGGAATCCCACTCCCAGTGAAGTGGACACACAGCCAATCCCACAGGACTCAACAGCCGGGCGCCGTGCTTGATGCTTCCAGTGCGTTACCCACTTCCTCCCCAAGAGTCCCTGGACAGCAGAGACTCTTAACAGCCTCACTCACGGAACAGGAAGGAGCCGAGCTGAGGTGCCTTTCCTGAGGCCACACGGCCAACACTCCTGAGGACTGGCGTCGGGTCTGAGCAGATCACCCCAGAGCTCGAGGCCCTGGCCACTGTCCCCGGCCACGGCAGCCCTCCCTGCCCTCGCGGGACACAGTCAAGCCCCGCGGATGCCCAGAACCTTCATGCGTGAATTTCATTTTCCTTCTTCCTCACTTCAGACGGAAGGGTTGTTCTTGCCGTAGAGCTCAGCCACCCATCATCCAATTTTTTCCCCTTTCCTAATTCAGTGAAGAATTTTCATTTACAGGAAGCACTTCACGGTTTCTCTTTGGCATATCCGCGCCGCCAGCATCGACACACTTCACTGTGGGGCTGTGACTAACTAATACAAAGGTTACTTGAACAAAAGCACGGCACTACAACCAGTCAATCTGACAACCCGGACAGCTACGAAGTGACTGACGGGCAGGATGAGTGGACAGCAGGGATTCGCTGGACCAAGTGATGGCCACCTCCTGGTCGGAAGCGAGCAGGTTGGTGCAGGACTCATCACACTCCTCCCAGCCACGAGCACTTTAAGAGTTATGAATTATTCATTTCTGGAATTTCCCAGTAAATAATTCTGGACTGCGCCTGATTATGGGTGACTAGAACTGCCAATAAGGGGCACTACTTGTACAGATACCCCTCGATTTGCGGAAGGCTACATCTCGACCAATCCACAGTAAATGGAAAATAACGTAAGTCAACATGCAGTGAACACCCCAGTATGCCCATTGCAACGTTAGTGGAAAACCAAACTCTGTAAACTATCTTAAAGAGATTTCTTCCAAGCCAACATGAGTGACCGTGGCCCCGAGAAAACACAAATCCAAGAGACCTTGAATAAGTGGTCCTAAGGCGGTCAAGTTGCAGTTGGGTCTTAATACATTTTAAGACAACAGGAATTGCAGGTGAAATCACCAATCAATACATGGAAGGCATCCATCGGTCAGATGGAAAAAATGGGACATTTCAAAGTGGGGGCTTCCCAGTCTCTCTAGTTGGTAACGGGTTGAAAGTGCTAAGCTTCGTTTAAAGATTTGAAGTCAGCATGAGGGAAAGCCTGAGTTAGACAGGGGGGTCTGGCTGTCGTGATGGCATGCCACAGTCAGGTTGGAAAGTAAACCACAGCACGCCAGGTTCATTAAAAAAAGGAACGTCTGCAAGCCAGGTGTGTTGGCTCACGCCTGCCACCAGCATTCTGAGAGGCCGAGGCGAGAGGACGGCCTGAGCCCACGGGTTCCAGACCAGCCTGGGCAACATGGCAAGATCTCGTCTCCACAATAAATCAGGAAAACTAGCTGGGCATGGTGCTGCACACCTGACGTTCCAGCTACCTGGAAGGCCTGAGCCGGGCAGGCCGAGACAGCGGTGGCCGGGAGCAGTGTGCCACTGCCCTCCTGCCTGGGTGGCGAGTGAGACTCCGACTCAAAAAAATAAAAAGAAGAAAGAGGCACCTGCTGACGGAGACGTTACGCTTTGTAGGGTGAGACCCATGCCCGCCCGCGTGGCGCTGGGTCTTGTTTCTCAGCCAGTTCTTACTGCCAGTGCCACCATCTCTGCCCTAAGAGGAACGCTGGCCACCTGGGGCTTGACTCCAAAGGGGGCCGGCGGGCGGGGCGCCCAACCTCTCTTCCTGTCCACACCACCAGCATCGCTACGCTGGCACGGTGGGGCCGTGACTTATTAATACAAGGGTTACTGGGACAAAATCACAGCAATACAACCAGTCGATCTGACAACCCGGGCAGCTACGAAGTGACTGACCGGCAGGGCGCGTGGACAGCGGGGATTTGCGGGACCGGGTGATGGCCACCTCCCGGTCGGGCTTTCTGGGGTTGGCTCGGTGGGCTGGAGGCCTGGGGACTTTGTTTCCAGCTCACAGAAAGGTCGAGCCGCCCGGGATGACCCACGATGGCATTTGTCTCCAGGAAGAAATTCCAGAGCCGCGGGGCGGGCGAGGGGGAGGGGGCCCAACCCGGGATCTGGAGAGCTGCTCGGGTCGCGGCGGTCACCTGGACCCGGAGGACCAGAATCTGGCTTCCTGGAAGATCCCCGGTGACCAAGAGGGTCGACTCCTGCCAGCCCCGAGCCGATTCCGCTCCGAATCTCAATTAAGAGGCAGAGACCACCCGAGAAGGACAGACGCCGGCGGGCGGGGCGGGTGCTGCCCCGAGTGGGTCCCGGCCTCCCAGAGTTCCGGGCGGGGCGGGGTGCTGCCCCGAGTGGGTCCCGGGCTCCCAGGGTTCCGGGCGGGACGGGGTGCTGCCCCGAGTGGGTCCCGGCCTCCCAGGGTTCCGGGCGGGACGGGGTGCTGCCCCGAGTGGGTCCCCGGCTCCTAGGGTACCGGGCGGACGGGGTGCTGCCTCGGGTGGGCCTCGGGCTTCTAGGGTTCCGGGCGGGACGGGGTGCTGCCCCGAGTGGGCCCTGGGCTCCCAGAGGTCCGGGAGGGAGGGGGCAGCCCCAAGTGGGCCCGGGCTTCTAGGGCTCCGGGCAGGAGGAGGCGCTGCCCCGAGTGCGACCCGGGCTCCTAGGGTTTCGGGCCGGATGGGGCGCTGCCCCGAGTGGGCGCCGGGCTCCCAGGGTTCCATACTCGAGGCGGGCGTTGCCGGTCGCAGGGGCCTCACCCCGTCCAGCAGGACGACGCGGCCCGCGCACGAGCTGGTGGTGAAGAACTGCTCCTGCGCGTTCAGGAGCCTCACGAGCTCTGCCACCCCCTCGTCCACGCTGCCCTTCCGGCTGAGGTCCGCTCGGCTC